GAAACAACTACACGGCAGTGAGGAGAGAGGCAGAAAGAAATTTTGAAAAAGGGATTGCAGACAAATGTAAAACAGAACCAGGTCTATTCTATAAATTCATAAACAACAAATTGCAGGTAAAGGATGATATACAGAGGTTGAAAATGGGAAATAGATTCACGGAAAATGAAAAGGAAATGTGTGAAACATTAAATGAAAAGTTCCAAAGTGTGTTTGTACAAAATGAAATCTTCAGGGAACCAGATCCAGTAAGAATTCCAGAGAACAACATAGAGCACATAGAGGTGTCTAGAGACGAAGTGGAAAAAATGCTCAAGGAGCTAAATAAGAACAAGGCAGTTGGTCCATCTGGAGTTTCACCATGGGTTCTGAGAGAATGTGCACCTGAGCTCAGCATTCCTCTTCAACTGATTTTTCAGGCATCCCTGTTTACAGGAGTTGTAGCTGATGTGTGGAAAAAGGCTAACATAGTTCCAATCTACAAAAGTGGAAGCAGGGAAGACCCCTTAATTATAGACCGGTATCATTGACAAGTGTAATAGTCAAAATATTGGAAAAAATAATTTAAACTAAATGGGTAGAACACCTGGAGAGAAATGATATAATATCAGACAGACAGTATGGTTTTCGATCTGGAAGATCCTGTGTATCGAATTTACTCAGTTTCTATAACCGAGCAACAGAGATATTACAGGAAAGAGATGGTTGGGTTGACTGCATCTATCTGGACCTAAAAAAGGCTTTTGACAGAGTTCCACATAAGAGGTTGTTCTGGAAACTGGAAAATATTGGAGGGGTGACAGGTACACTTCTAACATAGATGAAAAATTTTCTGACTGATAGAAAAATGAGGGCAGTGATCAGAGGCAATGTATCGGACTGGAGAAATGTCACAAGTGGAGTACCACAGGGTTCAGTTCTTGCACCAGTGATTTTTATTGTCTACATAAATGATCTACCAGTTGGTATACAGAATTATATGAACATGTTTGCTGATGATGCTAAGATAATAGGAAGAATAAGAAACTTAGATGATTGTCATGCCCTTCAAGATGACCTGGACAAAATAAGTATATGGAGCACCACTTGGCAAATGGAATTTAATGTTAATAAATGCCATGTTATGGAATGTGGAATAGGAGAACATAGACCCCACACAACCTATATATTATGTGAGAAATCTTTAAAGAATTCTGATAAAGAAAGAGATCTAGGGGTGGTTCTAGATAGAAAACTATCACCTGAGGACCACATAAAGAATATTGTGCGAGGAGCCTATGCCACACTTTCTAACTTCAGAATTGCTTTTAAATACATGGATGGCGATATACTAAAGAAATTGTTCACGACTTTTGTTAGGCCAAAGCTAGAATATGCAGCGGTTGTGTGATGCCCATATCTTAAGAATCACATCAACAAACTGGAAAAGGTGCAAAGACATGTTACTAAGTGGCTCCCAGAACGGAAGGGCAAGAGCTACGAGGAGAGGTTAGAGGCATTAAATATGCCAAAACTGGAAGACAGAAGAAAAAGAGGGGATATGATCACTACATACAAAATAGTAACAGGAATTGATGAATTTGATAGGGAAGATTTCCTGAGACCTGGAACTTTAAGAACAAGAGGTCATAGATATAAACTAGCTAAACACAGATGCCGAAGAAATATAAGAAAATTCACTTTCGCAAACAGAGTGGTAGACGGTTGGAACAAGTTAGGTGAGAAGGTGGTGGAGGCCAAGACCGTCAGTAGTTTCAAAGCGTTATATGACAAAGAGTGCTGGGAAGACGGGACACCACGAGCGTAGCTCTCATCCTGTAACTACACTTAGCTAATTACACACACACACACACATTATATATATATATATATATATATATATATATATATATATATATATATATATATATATATATATATATATATATATATATATATATATATATATATATATATATATATATATATATATATATATATATATATATATATATATATATATTATATATATATATATATATATATATATATTATATATATTATATATATATATTATATGTGTGTATATCACGAAAATAAACACGTGATTAAGAATGTGACAATGTCAGACCACGGAGGAAAAATGAAACAGGAAATTTCCTTAAGTACTTTCGTATATTAAATACATCTTCAGAAGGTCATTTTACAGATCGAGTGATGGGTATAAATAGGCAGGAAGGAGTGGTGAAGTAAGGTGAGGTACAATACTTGGACAACGCAGACGGCCCATTGGCCCATCAGATGCACCCAATTGGCACATCCGATGTAGCACAATGGCCCATCTGATACAGCAGACATACAAGCATAATATATAGGTAATTATAACATAAAGAAGTAAATATATACAATAAATTAGTGAGACAAATGTTTTTCAATGATTCTACTTAAATCGCCCTTTAGCTGATCTATTAGAAATGGATCTAAGTTATATAGACCACTGCTAATATTCAAATTACTTTCTTTGGTGATCTGTATCAAAGCAGATTCAATTATGTTTCTGTTATAGGTGCTTTTACAATTTGTTATTGAAGAAGCACTCTCCCAATCAATTTGGTGAGCTTTTTCTGACAAATGCACAAACAAAGCATTAGACAATTGGCCATTGGAATCATTCCTGGAATCATTCCTTGGTTTAGATATGTTGATGATATCTTGTGTATTTGGCCTTCAGATGTAAGCACAGACGAATTTGTAGCCAAACTTAATGACCAAGTCACCTCCATAAAATTTACTATGGAGACTGAAATTGATAAATGTTTGCCATTCTTAGATGTGCTTATTCATAGGGAAAACTCTTCATTAAAGTTCAGTGTTTACAGAAAACCTACGAACAATTTATCTTATGTTCATTATTTTTCAGGGCATAAATACAATGTAAAAAAGTCAATTTTTTCTTCAATGTATCTAAGAGCTCTTCGAGTTGTGAGTCCAGAATTCTTAGATGAAGAATTTAAGAATATTGATTCGATTGGTCTTAAGCTTTGTTACCCACTGAATTTTTTGGAAGTTTGTCGTAACAAAGCTCGTCGTACATATTATAATAATGTATGCAGTGAAAGGATTCGCCCAAAGAATGTTTTATGTTTACCATATTTCTCTGGGTTTGAGAATATTGTCAAGGCCTTGAAACTTTTTAATATAGATGTAATGTTTAGCTACAAAAACACTGTTGGTAAGCTATTAGTAAGGAACAGCCCTCGTAGTGATAATTGCGTCATTTATAAAATACCTTGTAAGGAATGTAATAAGTTCTATGTCGGGCAAACATCTAAAGATTTAAAATGTAGAATATCGCAACATAAATACTCTGTAAAACATGGCCAATTGTCTAATGCTTTGTTTGTGCATTTGTCAGAAAAAGCTCACCAAATTGATTGGGAGAGTGCTTCTTCAATAACAAATTGTAAAAGCACCTATAACAGAAACATAATTGAATCTGCTTTGATACAGATCACCAAAGAAAGTAATTTGAATATTAGCAGTGGTCTATATAACTTAGATCCATTTCTAATAGATCAGCTAAAGGGCGATTTAAGTAGAATCATTGAAAAACATTTGTCTCACTAATTTATTGTATATATTTACTTCTTTATGTTATAATTACCTATATATTATGCTTGTATGTCTGCTGTATCAGATGGGCCATTGTGCTACATCGGATGTGCCAATTGGGTGCATCTGATGGGCCAATGGGCCGTCTGCGTTGTCCAAGTATTGTACCTCACCTTACTTCACCACTCCTTCCTGCCTATTTATACCCATCACTCGATCTGTAAAATGACCTTCTGAAGATGTATTTAATATACGAAAGTACTTAAGGAAATTTCCTGTTTCATTTTTCCTCCGTGGTCTAACATTGTCTCATATATATATATATATATATATATATATATATATATATATATATATATATATATATATATATATATATATATATATATATATATATATATATATATATATATATATATATATATATATATATATATATATATATATATATATATATATATATATATATATATATATATATATATATATATATATATATATATATATATATATATATATATATATATATATATATATATATATATACATATACATATATATATATATATATATACATATACATATATATATATATATATATATATATATATATATATATATATATATATATATATATATATATATATATATATATATATATATATATATATATATATATATATATATATATATATATATATATATATATATATATATATATATATATTTTCAACCCGTTCTCGCACTTGCTTATGGTCAATATTGGCTTATTTAATAAGTGAATATGTGACATACTAATTGATTGTAAATATTTTAGTTTACCTTGAAAAGCTTCATAGAAAACACCGACCTCACCTAACCTTCTTAGTATGTTAAGATAAGCATCTTATTGCTTCTTAATTACAATTATTACTTAACCTATACCGTTGATAGGTTAAGTAATAATTGTAAATAAGAAGCAATAAGATGCTTATCTTAACATACTAAGAAGGTTAGGTGAGGTCGGTGTTTTCTATGAAGCTTTTCAATGTAAACTAAAATATTGACAATCAATTAGTATGTCACATATGCACTTATTAAATAAGCCAATATTGACTAAAAGCAAGTGCAAGAACGGGTTGATATATTACATATTTTCCATCATTAAGTATATGATAAGAATTACACACATCTGGCAATAGTAGCAGTAGGCATCCTGCAGTCTCGGGAGACTGGAGTTGCACTCTAGTTATACAGGAAATGGGATATAAACCCTGATACACAAAAAACTTAAAACATTTGAAAAGGTCTGATCCCAGTTGTTGGATTCTATTGAGATTACACATTATCACCAAAATTCTATACCCTACATTAATTAAATTTTAATAATCACTGACAGATGAAACAACACCACCATTTCTATTACTCACATCATTGGGCATTCTCAACCCACTAGCTTGGTCATCTGCATCTGCTTCTTGTTCATTCTGAAGTTCAGTAAAGTAGAGACGATCATGAGTGAGAACAAAAAAGTGTGCCTGCCAAGCTGTTGAATCTACCGGGTTCTTGAGGAAGAGACGATCACTTTTGAGACTCAGCTTGCTCAGTTCCATCTCTCCTCCCTCTGGTGATCACACAATACATAATTAAATTTCAAGAATCTTCATTCTACACATCATCTACAGATCCTGGCCTCGTAATATATTTCAGATTAATTAACCAATCAATCCATCAACAATATGTGCATAAAACATGAGTTATTTCAGAGTGGGTAATCAATTCCAATTAATAAGGCAAAAAACCAGCGTTGAATGTAATGAAACCCCATTTTCTGGGCGAGACCTGGAGGCTCCCCGGAGCTAACCGGGCTGATATGACTATTAGACCCAGGCATCAGTCAGTTGAATGGAGTTCTAGGCCTACCTAATCTTGAGTATACCTTTGGTTGGCTTCGGGGCTTAGCGTCCCCGAAGCCTCAGCCTACCAGGGACCATGAGCCAGAACCTAGTCCCCCTCAGAGAGGCACGAGGAGCAATGGCCTATAGAAAGCCTAGTGTGGTTGAAAGCATTTTATATCTGCCATCGACCAGGTCAGGCACCCAGAAAAATAGGCGCCCCATAACAAACCCTATCCACATGCCAGTTCTGAGGCTGGATGTCAAAACATGCAAAAACCACCGACCAGAGGGAGGGAGGGTTGCCGGGAAGCCACCGGGTCTCACCTAGAAAATGGTGTTTCATTAAATTCAATGCTTGTTTTCTGGGGTGAGCCCCTTCGACTCCCCGGAACTACTTAACCCAAGATAAAACAAGAGGGACTTACCTGCGAGACTGTCACCACTCGCTCCTCAACTGGAAGTTGAGACAACTGGGTGCAACCATCGACTCAATGTGACACATGCCTGACTGGGGGCCCAGGAACATTGAGTAGGTAGTGAACGGCTAGGACCCTGTTCGACGTCAAAAAGCCTAATGCCCGAATGTCACACCAAGACATGTTTCCAAAGACGGCTGCCAAACTAGCAAACTTACGAACGTCATGGGCACGAGGATGGACCACAGGCTGGCTGGACCAAATAACCCTGTGGACGACCTGGGAGACAAAGCCACCTCCTCACCATACAAGTGATGATAGACCAGCATAAGAAAAACCAGATGCAAATACTTGGAGAAGATCAAACCAGCTAAGTAACAGACTGGCTCAATCTGCTGAAAGAGGAGGAGTCGCAGGAAGACCCCCGGGTTCAGACATCAAGCAAGCAAGCAAGCAAGCAAGCAAGCAAGCAAGCAGGACCTGAAACAAAGGCTGGGTTGGCCACCTAGGGTCCAACAGGACTACTCTCCCTTTGTAAGTCTCCAAGCGAGCTAGGACTTGGAGCAACAGCAGAACAGGGGAAAGAGGTGCAGATAATTCCACCTCGACTAGTCCTGCCTGAAGGCATCGACCCCAGCAGCCCCGCAGTCATGGAAGAATGCCACATATACCGGGAGACGCATCAACCATGCCGACGCGAAGAGACCCACCTCTAGGAGCCCGCAAGTCCGGCAGAGCCAAATGAACGAGTCGGCGCCGATCCGTCCATTCTGTGGACAGGGGAATGAACCGAGACCGGCCATTGGCAAGGACATTGGACACTCTCCCCACCCTCGAACATGAACGGCCAGGAGATCCAAACCGACCGAATTCAGCCGACGAGCCACCCGAAGCGACCAGACCCAAAGAGCTAAGGACCACATTGAACCCTCCCGTGGTTCAGGCAATAAACCATTGGGGAGCAATTCGAACTGAGCTGGATCGTCGATCCACGAGTGACCCGAACCCACCTGAGCGACATCCATATGGCCACAAACTCCTGCACCATGCTGTGGGCCTGATGGAAGGACGGGCTGCATTGGTCACAAGCTCACCCCACCATCCCTGGCCGGCCTGGTGAGCACTGATCACAAAGCCCCAGCCAAGAGACGAAGCATCCTTGAACACATTGAGCGCAGGCTCAGGTAGGCGCCAAAGCACTGAACCCCAAAAATCCTGAAGAGGAAGCCGGTGATACAGCAGCCGACGCAAGGCACCCAGAGGCCGAACCCAGCGACTGCAAGAGAGGTGGAAGGGTTCTTTTTGGTTCCACGAAGGAAATAGAACTGCCCTACAGGTGACCCTACAGAGCGCAGGATTAGAGACCTACCCAGCCACCTCCGAACCCCCCAAAAGAGGAGGGGCCATCCAACACCATCGCAGATCGCAAGAAACAACCAGAAAAACCCACAAATCGTGAGACCAGGGGTGAGCAAACAGCACGAGCCTCTTCCCTCACCCCCCCACATTGCCCTGTCAATGGGACAAACCGCAAAAGAGCCAATGTTCCTTACGAGAAGCTGACTTATGAGCAGAACGAGCACCGCGCCGACCAGACATCGTCAGTTTTGAAGGCTACGCTAGCTCTAAAACTGGCCCAAAAGACCTACCATGATGGGAGGAACCCGAGTCCTGGCACGACCCTTCCGAGAAGACCCCCCATGGGCCCCCTCAGCGAAGCAACAAGTCTGATATGGGGACAATAACGAGAAGAGGTCGTCTGCAGATACTGCACCACTGCAGACTCTGCAAACGGCAAAGGACAAAAAAGTGTAGATAACCAAAGAGCAAGGGCCCAAGCGGATTCCAAGGGCTGAACGAACACTTTCGTCCAAAAATTTTCTCTTGATTCTAAACTTTGGACCTGACTTGCATCCAATACAAAAATATTTGTATAAAAATTATTTTTTATGCAATCGACTTGGGGATATTTTCAAAATGAGTGCCATAAAAGTCCTGTTCTCCTTGATAGGCCTATTGGCCGCGTGGGGCTTCGGCACAAGGCGTCGACCTTGTATGTTGTTGACATCGCTCGTGACCGGACCGCTATCCCCTCGCATCCACAACTCGTGTTGTTTTGTGCGTTTATTTTGCTTCCTGTGTGTTCTCCAACCTTTATATACATTCCACGATGGATCCTGGCCAAGGTCCAAGCATTGTTACTACCAAAAAAGGGAAGGAGTCATACAAACAGGACAAGATAAGTACGTTGTATAAAAAGTACCATCGAGTGAAGCTTACTCCCTCCAAGATACCCAGTTTAATTGATGAGTTATCTGATGTTGCGTCTGATGTAGAAGGAGAGGAAGGGTTGAGTGACTTCAATAGTGATAATTTGGATTCTGAAACAGGTATTTACGATGTTTCTAGTAGTGATGAAAGTGATGATAGTGAGGAAAGTGAACCAACCCCACCGCCTCGTACCCGAAAGTGTACAGGTCCTGGACACGCCACACAGCCAGAACCGGCTAGTCCCTAGTCCACCGACAATACTCCACCAATTGTTGATGATTTCACTGCAACACCAGGCCTAACTATTCCGTCCCCCATCACTGCTCTGCAATTCATTCAATTATTTCTGACTAGAACACTCATTGAATATTTCACGTATAAATCAAACCTGTATGCCACACAAATCATGGCGCATGGTAGCAAGAGCGTCAGGAAGATGTGGGTGCCAATCACCGTAAAGGAAAGGGCCAGATATATAGGCCTGTCCATGTTGATGGGTGTTTGCAGGCTACCAACAATGAAAATGTACTGGCAGACATCAAGGCTTTGGCACACACGTTTCTTCAATGCTTTCATGTCGGGGAAGCGGTTTCATATATTGGAAAGTTTTTCCACTCATACAATAACCATGCCATTCCACCAAATAATACAGACAGGTTGCTCAAAATTGAAGACGTGATGGATTATCTGAAATCAAAATTTGCAGCAATATACATTCCCAAGAAACAACCGAGTCTTGATAAAGGCACGATGGCCTGGCATGGCAGGTTATCTTTCAAGGTGTATAATCCGAACAAGCCTGAAAAATATGGAGTGAAACTGTACATGCTTGCGGAATCTATTTCTGGCTACATATATGACTTTGAAGTGTACTGTATTGTGGAATAGGCAAAACAGTAATGGAGACAGTCACGGGCCTGATTGAGCCCCTAATGGATAAAGGGTACCATCTCTACATAGATAACCATTATAACTCAGTCAACCTTACAGAAACATTAAGTGAACGGAAGGGTTACACATGTTGCACCATTCGATTACCACGTGGAACACCCAAGGAACTGCAAGTGAAGGCTAAAGGAAAATTACCATTGGATACAATGATATTCCGCCGTAAAGATAACACCTTTATTATACTGTGGAAAGAAACAAGTGGTATCCATCATTACAAACTTGCACAATGCAGACACCATGCAAGTTCAACGCAGGAAAAGAATTCGCAAACGTGATGGATCATCTTCAGTAGAACAGGTAACAGTCAATAAACCAGCTGCCATTTGTGACTATAATTGCTTCATGAAAGGTGTGGATCACTTTGATCAAATGGTGAAATACTACCAGTTTACCAGAAAATGTCACAAGTGGACCAAGAAGATGATGTTCTATGTTCTTCAAATGGCTCTACACAATGCATTTGTATTGTATAAAAACTACAAAACTGATCAAAAGAAACTAACGTTGCTGCAGTTTCATGAAATGGCAATGTTGGCCCTATTGAAGTGGGACACAGAGGATTGGCCTCTCACAACAGACACCATTCCACATGCTCCAGATATAAATGCTGACGCCAGTACTTCTGATGCTGCAAATCTGTCAACCCCGGGACCATCTGGCGTGAGGCAGGCTTTATTCGCTTCAACACCACACGGCGAAGCTTCCTCATCTGACTCTGAACTCGAGGCAGGTGACTTAGACACAACAGGTGTTGCAGGAAACATAGCACCAGGTTGTACTCCACCCAGAAACCACCCAAGAATTGTGGATGCCCCTGAGCGTCTCAACAGGAGGCTCTCACATGCAATACTTACGATGCAGAAATGCTAAAGTGTCGTGAGTGTTACAAGTCGGGAATCCGAAAATACACCAAGCACAAGTGCAAAACGTGTGGAGTTGCACTGTGTGCTTCACCCTGCTACACAAAATACCATCGCAAGAGGGTATTTTTGTGTAGCAACCTGCGACCTAAAGTAACACATGAATGCCCAGGAGCAGGAACGTTAACCAAATAATGGGCGGCCAAGACACGGTTCGACCTTCAAAATCCCCACGCCTGAATATCAGCCCAGGACTTCCTAATGTCATGGGCATGAGGATAGACTGCAGGCTGGCTAGACTTAATAACCTTGGATGACCTGGGACACCTGAAGCCAGGAACAGGGAACGAGGGAAATCAAATGAACCCAAAGCGCATCCTCAGCCACCAAAGCCGAAGCGCGCAGATAACGGCGAAGAGCCACAACCGGACACAACACATAATATACCCCCGGCCTGACCAACCGAGCATCAACGACCCGAGGACCCCTCCGGAAAGCAGCCGTTTCATTCTGTCTGTGTAATAGCCGTCTCATTCTTCACCAGAAAAGACGGAGAAGGCTGCAACCGAACAAACCAACCACTAGGACCGAAAGAGCAGAAACCCCTGTGCCAAAGGAGAGCATGAAGCTCACCGAGGCCAATGCCAACGGAGGCCAATGACCCCCAGAGGCCAATGCCAAAAGAAAGAGCCTTGGAATAACAATCTTGAACTGTAGGGGTCACCACAAACTGAGTAGAGAAGAGATGGGTAAGCACCCTGTCCAAGGACCAGGACAGTTCAGGTGGCACATGAGCAGACCCGGCTTGTGGTTCATGGTAGGCTGAACTCCATAGACTAACGCCCCGGTCTAATGTATTATATATTTGCCCGGCAATTCCAGGGTGTCGTAGGGACTCCCCACAGGAAATATCTTTAAACCCCATACCTTTGAAAATAATATTTTACCACAAACACTTGATAATTATGATTTTGTTTTATAAACAAAGGCAAACGTCACAAAAGAAAGGTACTGTTACTGACGTTCGTCCACATTAGCAGCTAGAGGCGTGAACTCGTCCGTCCCTCCAGGAAGTTTTCTATGTTTGAGGATAATCATTCTCTTGAGTTGATCAGGTGATGGCATTGCCTGATATTAGAAGGGAATAATTATATTAATTAAACAAAGATATTATGTTGTGATGGTCAATTCCCCTTAATTATGCTTTATTTCCTTCAAGATATTTTCCTTCAAGTGAATATCTTTCTATACAACCTTCCTCAGCCTTTTAGTTAAGTACTAGAAAGTTTTTGTAGGTGCACTTGCAATTTCAGCTAGAAAAGTATATATATATATACATATATATCATCTCGATAATATTTCTATAACAAAAGTCGCTTAAGGGGGCGTTATTCGGGTATCATAAAGTTGTTGTTTAGTGTCAACCATTATTTTTGTCTAGTTGTATATGAAAAGGGCTACAATTGTTCGAAGTTTCAGCACTGTAGCCTAAATAGTAAGGGAGATTTTTAATTTTTTTATTTTTTTCAACGAATTTTACACATTTTCAATTGTGAATTTACAACCACACCTTTCAGATATAATCATTCTATGACACTTTTCTGACACATTAACATATAATAAAGGATCTCTAGCAAAAGATTTTCCAAAACGTTTTTAGTTTTCCTAATACAAATAGTCTAAGTTCCCCCAAAAATTATGCAAATATATCATGTTTATTGCTATTATAAAGTCAATAAAGAACTCAAGATAAAAACATTTGCAAACGATTTTAGAGACATAAAATTTATATATAATGTGTAAGTTTCATGTAAATTGCATAAAAAATGAAAAAGATATTCATGTTCAAGTAACATAAACTTTCAAGTAAGTAAAAAATAAAGTCTAAGGTGTTGCCCTCTGTGGCTGAAGTTGACATCAACCAATTTCCTCCAAAATTGGCACCCTTACAGATAGGCTTACGTGCAGTCAGGTGTATAAGTTTCATGCAAATCGCCCCATAAACAAAAGAGAGATATTAAAAAAAAAAAAAAAAAAAAGTGAAATTTGACTTTTTTTTTTTAACTAAATTTTTTGTTAATAAAACTAATTATAATTTGTTTTTAATATATGCTATTGTGATACCTGTGAGTCAGACATGATTTCAGTTGACATTTTTGTTTGATAATCTTTTTTGATTATTTTTGAAAATTTTTGACACATAATTCAATATTTTTTTCATCCTTCCTATTTATGCTACGATGCTGAGACTTGGACCAAATAAAACCCTTTTCATATACATCTTGTCAAAAAAGTTTGATTGAAATTGAACGAGTTTTCATTTTTTGCATATTTTGTGAATAACGCCCCCTTAAGAGACAAGAGGTGGGACCTAAAAACTATGGCTCATCCCCTGAAAATACTGTACAATTAGGTGCATTCTTTAATAAATGGGAAACAACATGATAAAAACAGTACAATATGCAAATAAAGGGCAAAATTGTAAACTACTAGAATAACAAGGAGGATGAGAAACTAGTTACTGTACTTTTACCATCACTAATGGCAGAAAACACCATTGAGGAAATCAATCTTCATTCTTAGTTTTAAGTATGAGAGAATGCAGTACAACTTCAGTTCAGTGCACTATATGGGACCAACCCCGGTTCATTGCAGGGTTGGGTTTGTTGCAAGAGGTGACCTTCAGAAGGCGTTTGCATCAGTGTTTTTTTTTATCTTGTAAACAATAAAAATGCATTATCATATACCTTATATGATAAGGTATATAATATATAATCATATACCTTATATGATTATATATTATACTGTACCTATATATTACTATTCTACTAAAAAATACTGTTACAGTTTTTATTTACCTTATTGTTAGAATTACAAAATACTATACAGGCAAAATATAAAATGAGAAAAACTAAATTACTACAAGACATAAGTTACACCTACGCACCCTCACTCAAATTATAAAAAGTGTTGAAACCATTTTAATTTCTTACAATGTCTTCCATATTTTACTCAAATTAAATTACTAGTATATTTATAACTTTAATTTCCATGTCACACATTTTGCTGTAAGCTGTATGAATGATGGCCCAATACTAACTTGTTCATTACTATCTATAGAAGAAGTAAGAAGGGAATCGCGGAACACCTCACGGAAACGCCGAGCCATCTCCTGTTGCTGTGGAAGGCTGCAGTGGTCTTCAATGGATAAAATAACTGGATATCTGTCAGGAATAATAAAAATGGTAAATTCCTCGCTTATTCTTCCACCGGCGGAAGAATGAAGCTGAACCAAAATGCTTTAAAACAAGGCTGTCTTGTATCTACAAAACATCATTAGTTCACAAACTACACCGAGCACTCACAGATTTTAACCACCTGCAATTCTTCAAGTCTGAAAGGATTAAAGCAATGCTGACAAAATATGAATTGTTTGCCATAGTCATCCTGCATTACAACTATCTCTAACAATATTCATTTCTACAAGATATAACACTTACTCTGATTTAACAAAGGCGTGATCTCGAATGGTGTTGATTACGTCGAGGAAGGAGATTCTAGATGTTAGTGTGTGACCATGAAAGATGATGGGCATGCCATCAGGCCCATCCCAACAGTCCAACTCAATGCAGCGGCAACCTTGACGAAGAACACGGGCATAGGCTTCTGTAGAAGATTCGCTGGCCAGCTGATCACCAGTTAAGTACCTGTTAGGTTGTCACAAACATTCCATCAAGATCATATAATATTTGTCAGTATAAATAAAACCAGCGTTGAAAGTAATGAAACGCCATTTTCTGGGCGAGTCCCAGAGGCTCCCCGGACCTTACTAGGCTGATATGCTAATGTCAGACTTTGGCATCAGTCATGTGTATGGAGTTCTTATGAGCCTACCGGGGACCACGAGCCAGAACCTAGCCCCCCTCTAGAGAGGCAAGGGGAGCAATGGCCTATAGAAACCCCCGTGTAATTGGAGGCATTTTATGTCTGCCATCGATCGGGTTAGGCACCCAGAAAGGTAGGCGTCCCAAAACAAACCCCTATTCTGCTGAAAATTGCAACCAAAAGCTAAACAAGTGGATACAACTCCCCAAACAAAAACGAGCTTACTAGTATGACTTCACCCGTCGTCGCACCGCTGTCTGCGCAGCCCCCCCTCCCTGGGAAAGGGAAGGGGTAGCCCCAGACATACCGCACCGGCGATCCACACCCCAGTTCTGAGGCTGGATGTCAAAATACGCGAAAAATACGCCGACCGGAGGGAGGGAGGGATGTCAAGGAGCCTCCGGGACTCACCCAGAAAATGGCGTTTCATTACATTTAACACTGGTTTTCTGGGGGGAGTCCCTATGGCTTCCCAGAGCTAACTACCCACAGAGGAAAAAGAATTGGGACTTACCCGGTAAGCGGTTGCTGCTCACTCCTCAACCCAAAGTTCAGACAACTGGCTGCATCTGCCAACCCAAAGCGACACAGGCCCGACTGGGCCCCAGGAACATTTACAAGGTAACTTTATTTTGTTTTGGGATGCTTACCTTTCTGGGTGCCTGACCTGGTCGATGGCAGACATAGAATGCTTCCAACCACATGGGGGTTTCTATAGGCCATTGCTCCCCATGCCTCTCTGAGAGGGGCCAGGTTCTGGCTCATGGTCCCCGGTAGGCCCACAGAACTCCATACACATGACCGATGCCAAAGTCTAACATTAGCAAATCAGCCTGGATAAGCTACAGGGAGCCGAAGGGGCTCCCCCCAGAAAGCACTTTATACCTAGTTAGAGACAAAAAGAAAAAGGAAGGACTGCCTATAAACCTCATGCCGCCATCGACGATGAACTAATGTGACTTATTTAGCAAGTGGTAACTTAATGTAAACGAACAATTATATATACAGATGGATTCCAAACACTAGAAAGTGAAGGGACGACGATGTTTCAGTCCGTCCTGGACCATTCTCAAGTCGATTGTGATGAGGGAAGGAGGCGAAGGCAATAAATACACAAGAGAGTTTTTTTTCTTGTCCATGGGGGTGTAAAAGCCATAAGGACCCCTTAGCAGCTCAAGGGTTAATGACTGGGATGAGAGTAATCATTACCTTCCACTTCTACACAGGGGTATTGTGAGGTGCAACAAACATTACAGAATGTCTACAAGGTGGCATGATAGAACAATGCCTCTGAGTGCTATAATCCAAGAAGTGTGTAAAGCACAAAAAACCCCGTTGGCTCCCCAGAACTAGTTACCCAAAGACAACGCAAGAGGGACTATCCGGGAGGTGGTCACCATTCGCCCCACAACTCTAAGTCGAGACAACTGGCCGTAACCTGCCAACCTAATGTGACAAGCCCAACTAGGACCAGGAACACTGACTAGAGACCGGGTGGCCAGGACCCAGGTCGACCTCCAAAATCCCTGTGCCCGAATGTCAGCCTAAGACATGTTACCGAAGACGTCAGCAAGCGCAGCAAACTTACGAACGTCACGAGGATAGACCGCAGGTTGGCTGGAACAAAGAACCCTGCAACCTTGGAGACCCAAATCCTGGAACAGAGAGGGGAACCCGGGGTCAAAACGAAGAGCAACCCAGGCCACCGAGAACGTGGCGCACAGGTAATGGCGAAGAGCTGCAACTGGATAAGACACAAGATACACCCCCGTCCTGACCAACCCAAGGGGGCCCATCTGGAAAGCAGTAGACTCATTCTTCGCCAGAAAAGAAGGAGACGGCTGCAAACAAACAAACTTACCACCAGGACCAAAAAAGCAGAAACCTCTGCACCGGAGAGGAGCATGAAGCTCCCCAACCCGACCCCCAGATGCCAAAGTCAACAAGAAAAAGTCTTCACCAAACAATCCTGAACCGAAGGGGACCCCACAAACCGAGAGAAAAGAGCACCCAGTCCAACGACCAGGAAGGCTCAGGAGGCAAATGAGCAGGCCGTAGGTGAAACAACACACAAGACAGCTTGCGGAACGGTCCAGACATAACACAGTGCCAAACGCAAGCTGCAGCGGCTCTGCCAGCACCGTTCAATATGAGGCGACATTATTCCTGGATTTGGTTTTTTCTCATTTGGTTTTCAGAAACTCATAAAAGAAGGCACATGGACTCCAAACCCGGAGATTGCTGTGGTTAGGGTAGGAAAAGAACGACCCCAGCAAGGGTAAGAATGACCCCAGCCTCCTGAAGCAGAGCTTGGGCTGCATGAGCCCCAGAAGGTGGACTACAGGTTCCAGACAGTGATCGTTACAGCCCCCTTTCACGTGAGGTTATCTTGAGATAATTTCAGGGCTTTAGTGTCCCCATGGCCCAGTCCTCGACCAGGCCTCCACCCCCCCAGGAAGCAGCCCGTGACAGCTGACTAACTCCCAGGTACCTATTTACTGCTAGGTAACAAGGGCATCAGGGTGAAAGAAACTCTGCCCATCGTTTCTCGCCGGCGCCCGGGATCAAACCCGAGACCACAGGATCACGTGTTTAGTGTTCTGTCCGCTCAGCCACCGGCTCCCTTCATGACCCAGCAGAAGGAAGAGTAATAAATATTAATTAATTATATTATTATTAGAATAATAATAATAATTATTATTGTAATTAATAATTATTACTCTTTTTTCTGCTGGATCATGAAGGAAGCCACCCTTGGGTGAAAGGGGGCTGTGATGATCTCTGTCTGGTACCCGTTGGTGCGGGGCTCAGACGTCCACCTCCTGGGGCTCATGCAGCCCAAGCTCTGCTTCAGGAGGCTGGGGTCATTGCCCTTGCTGGAGTGGTTCACTCCTGCCCTCCATCATGGCAGTCTCTGGCTTCAGAGTCCCTGTGCCACTTTTTACCAACTTCGAGGTAAACTCCAGAGCTGCCCTACTGCTCTGGAGTAGGGCACTGCCCCTAGGGCAGTTCGTTGTTGCCTTCAACCTCATTCCGACAGTTCCTGCAACGACACTGGAACCAATCAAATTGGCGTTTGCCTTTCCATTGGAGACTTTCAGTGCCGTGGCGAGGGGTTCTGTTGCATGGGTGACAGCTTCTCCCCCGTATCAACCTGCCCTGGAGTGGCCTAGAACGACAACCGCAGCACAGCTCCATAGTCCGAGACTGATGGATGCCTACTACTACCTCGTATTCTACAAGTATTGAACATCAAATATGACAAATTTTCTTCTGTTACTGCATATCATATAATTTCAAAACTCTTGCCAACTTCACTGGTCACTAAATTAAAATAATCTTATTTATTAATTTACCAGTAAATACAAATGAGCAAGTGTTTAGGGCAAGGCACTGAGGTGAGAAAGGGGACAAGACGTACGTGTTGTGAGACGAGGCTATCCAGTAGTGCGAGAGGGGCCTTGTCATATCCTGGTTTACCAAATTGTGTCGCTTGTCCCATAATTCGTTTGGCTTGGAGAACAGGTACTGCACAAACTGCAAGAATAAATTATACTGTATATATACCTCCAGATGGAACAGATGGAATTATATGTATCAACAGTAGGAAAAACAGACTACATATTGTCACTGTTACATTATGCTGGTTTCAGGGGAGACAACCCCGCATGCATTTTAGTTGACAGCCCGATTTGCCAAGCTATTGGTGCCTGAAGTTCACAGTTTGATGTGGGCACCATCACCAACAGATAAGGTATACTTTGTATATGTTCATCATTTCTCTCCAACACAATTAGAGGTTTGATTATCACCATCAACCCAAAAGAAATGAAGTAAGGTAATATAGAAAGATTAAACATATTCATGGGCTACTGTAAGTAGCCCATGTTATACAAATTCTAAAAATGAATGAGGTGAACAGACTTTTCCATATAGAAGAACAGAATGAATAAATGCAAGTGAGAGTTAGAAACCTAAACGAGTCCAGGATGGGGTAAAGTCTCTGGTACTCTGCTGGTTGTCTGTATTCAGCCATGTGCCCCTCACAAAAATCTGAAGTGTCTACACTGTTGCTAAAATAAAAAACAAATGTCTGGAAATCTTCATACATACTACAATACTGTACTAAAAATAATGAAAGAGTCCTCGAACATCTAGATTCTAGAAAAATAATCATGTATGGTACTGAATAGTCAGGAGAATGAGGCCTCACAGCAGGATCATACTACCCATACACACAAATAGATGAGTAAAGGCTGACCTCTTCCAGAAAGAAGTATGGTTCCTGGATGTCTCTCTCTGGATCCTGCAGGAAGTCCTTAATGATGCTGGCAGCTAGGTATTCCGATTCATTCTGCTCTTCCACCAAAAATGACTGGAACTCCTGCAGAGTGACTCTCATCATGTCACTACTGTACTTCTCCAGCACCGTAACACTGCTACACTCACTTGTATTAGAAAACATTGTTCTCTGAAATGGTACAAGAATATATTAATGAAACAAAAATACTGTATAAGGGTGGATCATATTTATGTGTAGAAGATTCATATTCAGATGTGGAAGTGGCAATAATTACAATATAAATAAGCTTATTTATTTATATATATATATTATATATATATATATATATATATATATTATATTAAATATATACAGTATATATATATTATATATATATATATATATATATTATATTATATATATATATATATATATATATATATATATATATATATATATATATATATATATATATATATATATATATATATATATATATATATATATATATATATATATATATATATATATATATATATATATATATATATATATATATATATATATATATATATATATATATATATATATATATATATATATATATATATATATATATATATATATATATATTATATATATTATATATTATATATATGACAATGTCAGACCACGGAGGAAAAATGAAACAGGAAATTTCCTTAAGTACTTTCGTATATTAAATACATCTTCAGAAGGTCCTTCTGAAGATGTATTTAATATACGAAAGTACTTAAGGAAATTTCCTGTTTCATTTTTCCTCCGTGGTCTGACATTGTCACATTCTTAATCACGTGTTTATTTTCGTGATATACACACATATTATATATATATATATATATATATATATATATATATATATATAATATATATATATGTTATATATAATATATATATATATATATATATATATATATATATATATATATATATATATATATATAATATATATATATGTCGTACCTAGTAGCCAGAATGCACTTCTCGGCCTACTATGCAAGGCCCGATTTGCCTAATAAGCCAAGTTTTCCTGAATTAATATATGTTCTCTAATTTTTTTCTTATGAAATGATAAAGCTACCCATTTCATTATGTATGAGGTAAATTTTTTTTTATTGGAGTTAAAAATAACGTAGATATATGACCGAACCTAACCAACCTTACCTAACCTAACCTATCTTTATAGGTTAGGTTAGGTTAGGTAGCCGAAAAAGTAGGGTTAGGTTAGGAAGGTTTTGTAGTCGAAAAACAATTAATTCATGAAAACTTGGCTTATTACGCAAATCGGGCCTATTGAAGTGCAAACTCATTGAAGCTCAATGACAAGCTCATTGAAGTGCAAACTAACATTAATAACGGTAGTAGGCCCAAGAGAAACAATAAGCGAGAAGGGCTATTTAATAAATTCAATTTTAATAATAAGAGGATAGACTGGGAGAAAATAAACAGGGAACTTACAAACATTCAATGGGAAAATGTTCTAAGAAATAAAAATCCTACACAGGGAATAGAAAAACTGACTTCTGAAGCATATGAAGTCTGTCTGAAACATGTTCCTTTGAGGAAAGCCAGAAAGAGGTCCAATGTAGAAAGAGAACGCAGACGGCATTACAAAAGGAGGAAGAAATTAACGGAAATGCTTAAGCAGAAACGACTCTCCATACAGAAGAAATAATTTAAACAAGGATATTGAAGAAATCAAACAGAGACTGAAGCATTCCTATCAGACTGAAGAAAGGCAACTAGAACAGAAAGCAATTCAAGAAATAAAGAAAACCCCAAAATATTTCTTCACATATGCTAAATCAAAAGCGAAAACCACTGCCAGTATTGAACCTATTCGTATTAGTGAAGGTTCATACACTGAGAATGACAAAGAAATTAGTGAAATCCTAAAAAAGCAGTATGAGGACATGTTTAGCACTCCGATACTCAGCATGAAAGTGGAAGATTCGGACAATTTCTTTAGGAATGATACTCAAACACCTGTAAATATAACTAATATCAACACGAGCGTGGCAGATTTTGAAAGAGAAATTGACAATATGCCCATGCACTCAGCCCCCGGGTCCAGACTCATGGAATTCAATATTTATAAAGAAATGCAAAGTGCCAGTAGCACAGGCACTCAGTATAGTGTAGAGGAAGAGTTTGGACACGGGGGAGATACGAGATGCGCTTAAAGCAGCAGACATTGCCCCTCTACACAAGGGTGGTAGCAAAGCATTGGCAAAGAATTATAGACCAGTTGCACTAACGTCCCACATAATAAAAGTATTTGAAAGAGTGATCAGGAGTCAGGTCACTAGATTCATGGAAACCAATGACCTCCACAATCCAGGCCAACATGGATTTAGAGCAGGAAGATCATGCCTCTCACAGCTACTTGACCACTATGACAAAATCACTGAGGCATTAGAGGAAAAACATAATGCAGATGTCGTATACACAGATTTTGCAAAGGCATTTGACAAATGGAACCATGGAGTGATTGCACACAAAATGAGGTCAATGGGTATAATTGGTATAGTAGGACGCTGGATACTCAATTTCCTGTCGAACAGAACACAAAGAGTAACAGTCAATCAAGTAAAATCGAGTCCGAGCGCAGTTAAAAGCTCTGTACCTCAAGGTACAGTCCTTGCACCACTGCTGTTCCTTATTCTCATATCAGATATAGACAAAAACACAAGTCACAGCTTCGTGTCATCCTTTGCAGATGATACAAAAATCAGCATGAAAATTACCTCTGCTGAAGACATTGATAAACTACAAACGGAAATTAACAAAGTTTTCGATTGGGCAGCAGAAAATAACATGATGTTTAACGGTGATAAATTCCAGGTACTCAGATACGGCAAAAATGAGGATCTTAAACAATACAGGGTACAAAACACAATCGAATCTGCCCATAAAAGGAAAACAGCATGTCAAGGATTTGGGAATAATGATGTCTGACGACCTAACGTTTAGGGAGCATAACCAAGCAAATATTGCGTCAGCCAGAAAAATAATAGGATGGATTACAAGAACCTTCAAGTCCAGAGATCCCATCACAATGGTTGTACTCTTCAAATCACTTGTGTTGTCCCGTCTTGAATACTGCTCAGTACTCACTTCCTCCTTCAGAGCAGGAGAGATTGCTGAAATTGAGGGAATACAGGAGAACATATACGGCACGCATAGATGAGATAAAGCACCTAAATTATTGGGATCGTCTCAAAGCTCTCCAAATGTACTCACTAGAAAGGAGACGAGAGAGATACCAAATAATATACACATGGAAAATACTGGAGGGCCAGGTCCCAAATCTGCACAGTAAAATAACAACGTACTGGAGTGAACGACATGGAAGAAAATGCAGAATAGAACCAGTGAAGAGCAGAAGTGCCATGGGCACAATCAGAGAACACACTATGAACATCAGAGGTCCACGGTTGTTCAACGTCCTACCAGCGAGCATCAGAAATATTAGAGGAACAACCGTGGACATCTGCAAGAGGAGACTAGATTGTTTCCTTCAAGGAGTGCCGGACCAACCGGGCTGTGGTGGGTATGTGGGCCTGCGGGCCGCTCCAAGCAACAGCCTGGTGGACCAAACTCTCACAAGTCAAGCCTGGCCCCGGGCCGGGCTTGGGGAGTAGAAGAACTCCCAGAACCCTATCAACCAGGTATCAACCAGGTATTATGAACATTTTACTGTATAAATATTGTAAAGGACACGCATATGCATCAGATACGATACAAAAAATCATTATAAAACATTTAAAATACATAGAAATATTATTTGTAAATATATTTGTGGCAACTGGTGATGCTTGAATGGCCTGTGCGACCATGTCTGGGAGCTTCACACACGGGCAACCAGCTCGTGATGACGTTACACACCACTTTGTCCACATCCCCACAGGCAAAGAAAGTGGAATTTGATATTTTTTTACATGTACATGTTCAGGGAAGGGAATTTATCATTTTACAAAGTTTTTTCTCAAACACTTGATTTTCAGTGCACAGGGAGAATTTCACAATAAACGCGGCGCATTTCTGAGGTTAAAGTTTTTTCTATAATTTTTTCAAGTGCAATGATGCATTGGGCTGTCAATAATGTAATTTATATCAAAGCGTTTAGAACACGGGTGTGCACTGATATATTTATGCCTCTATTTAAACACTATGATACAGTATTAGAACAATAAAACATACTGTTTTTGCTGTTATCACATGTTATATACTGCATAACTACATTATCTACATGTTTATGCACCATTCTGGCAATTGTGATAATCTCGTAACCATTGATCCAAGCACAGCATAGCCACACACTTTCATCAGTTGCCAATAGCACCTGACGAACCAAACTGCCACCCAATATACTAACTCTACATTGCCAACTCTAGTCAAAACACAGCTATTATTATCTGAATCCTGGTCACTAAATCCTGAATATGAATAATTTTCTATTATATCAACCCTAGTTGACATAAGCAGTCAGACATAAACAATGACAAGGGGGCATTGTTCTCCTGTTTTCTATGCTTCGTTTACCTTGCTGTTTGTATATTTTGGTTTGCTCACCTTTCTGGTGTCCTATTCTTGGTTAGTGACCTACAACACCCAGCTCCTTGGACCTCTTCAATGGGGGCCAGGTTTTGGCCTCTGGTCCCAAGAAGACTTCCATGACTTGCAAGGAGCCATGGTACGGATGGAATTTGATGGAGTTTGTCAAGTAGCAAGCACCAGGAAGCCACCATAGAAGCCTCCCAGAAAAGCACTCGTCAAACTAGAACTTACATCAATTTGGCTATCCCAGGTGATCTTTTTGACAAGATCAAAGAACTGATCAAAGCCAATCTCCCCACGCCTTGTATCATCAACAGTATCGAAGATCAGTCTCAGTCGAGTAGTGTTCATCCTGTAGTGAATCTTGGGAAGAAAGTTCTTTACTTCCAAGCACGTAATCCTGTAGAAAGGTAAAACATTAATGAAGATGATGATGATGGAATTCAGTTTGTGAATAATTGAGAAAATTTATTTGACATCATACATGATCATATATACTGTAATTCAATTTTTCAATAACTCAAAAGTTATTACGTATTGTAGCATTTTATCATACAGTTGAGCACAGAAAATAGAGAACTATAATAATTATGTACAAATTAATGATTGTGTTGAAGAAAGACACAAACAAAGACTTAGGGGGAATAAAGGTATCACAGTGAAGCCTAACTGTTTATCATAGAGGGCATCACTGGTGAGGAACAACCTGGAGATGACAGGTACCATTACCTGTTGATGACCTGTTAATGATTTCAAGAATTCTTCTACTCCTGCAGCATGGCTTGTGGCCAACTTTCCCAGGTGATTGCCTGGTCTGTGAGACAACTTGAGACACCATACAGCAGATGTATGGTGCCCAAATCTCAATAAGCACAAATAAATCTGAAAGGTGCAACAACATGCTACAAAATGGCTTCGGGAACTGAAAAAACCAGCGTTGAATGTAATGAAATGCCATTTTCTGGGCGAGCCCCGGAGGCTCCCTGGAGCTTATCGGCCTAATGTATGTTATATTAGACCGGGACATTAGCTAAGGAGTTTAGACCAACCAGGGACCAGCACCAGAACCTGGCCCCTTCAGAGAGGTTTCAGGGAGCAATGGCACTGGAAAACCCTATTGTGGTTGGGGTTTTCCTTATCTGCCATCGACCGGGGTCAGGCACCCAGAAAGGTAGGCATGACAAAACAAACCCCCCACATGGTAAAAAAATAAAACAAAAAACCGAACAGAGAGGTAGAAACTCCCTACAATCCCAAGGAAACAAGCAAACATCACACTTTACTGCCGCGCCGATCGTCCGCACAGCCCTACCCACCCCGAAAGGGAAAGGGGGGAGCCCTGGACCTACCGCGCCTCCTGCCTAGCATCAGTTCGGAAGCTAAGCTTCAACCAACGCGAAAAAAACGCCAACCGGTGGGAGGGAGGGTTGCCAGGGAGCCTCCGGGGCTCACCCACCAACAGCGGGACCATACGAGTCAAAAGAGCAAGCTGCTCCCCCAGCGCCCCGTCAACAGAGAAGGGAACAGAGCCCCTTCCAAAAGAAAAAGTACACATACACATATATACATATCATGTATATACACATACACATAAGGTATGTTACACACACGTGCGTATGCACATACATATGTGCACACACACACAGTGTACACATGTACATGCGTACACATACACTTGAAAAGAAAATTACAATCCGCCAACCAGTGGGCAGAGCACACGCCGGCCAGGCAAAGAAGGCACAAAACTGCATCAAAAGGCCCACCTCGACAACACAACCTCAAAGTCCCAGCATGACCACAACACGTGACAAGACCCAAAAAGATCAGTCTGCAAGCCAGGAAGACCCTGGAACTCCACAAGGCAGAAACCGGGTCACACACTAGGAAGCAAATCCCCCTGAACCCACAAAGGGGGCCCAAGAGGAAGAAACCTCCGGAACGAAACCAAAGAACCCAAAGGAACCCGGAATCAAACCAGGGGGAGCCCAAACCACCACATTTGCCAGCGGAGATCCACCACAGAAAGGCAAAGCACAGCCCCCAGACAGAACCCCTAGGGAAACGGTCAAAACAGACCGAAAACCGAAGGACAAGGTGTGGGAGGAAACATAACAGACAGGGATACCGAGCCCAAACCCTAGGGCCCAGACCCAAAATTGACAAAACGAAAAACTCGGTGCAAAAATCAACACTCAAACGTTCCCAGAGGAACAGGAAATGGGCAGAAAACACCAGAAAAGCAAAGAAACGACAACAGGAGAATAAAAACCCCTGAAAATGGTGAAAAACTCACCCAAGATGCTCGCTTGCACACCCAGGTGCATGTAAAGAAACCGCAACGCCACCCTGGTGGCCACGCCAGGAAACCGGCAGAAGAAAATGGCCACCAGAACAGAGGACTGTGACCGACACAATAGATATGAAAACCACGCCAGCAAAAGTGGGAAGCAAGCAGACTGGATGGGCGAAAAACTCCGCCCAGAAGCAGAAAACCCAGGCAGGAGCAAACCGCCCCAGAACTGCTAGCAGGCATCCTCCACATATCCGGGAACCCGCAACAGAGGCCCCGGGGCAGAGCCGTCCTCCAAGCCCTCCGCCCCTAAAGAAAAGAAAGAGTCCATGGGAAAGGCAGCAAGAAAGGGCCGCTGGTATGACCCAGAAGTCTTGGCAGGATGAACAGGCTCGAAAACCTCCGTCCCCAACCCGAACAGGGCAGCCCCCAAAACCGCCCGAGTCTCGGCCCCAACTAAACCCCGCCCCGACCCCGAAACCCGCAGATGGTCCGGAGCCAGGAATAGGGAGGGAAAGGAGTGAACAGCACCTAACCAAAATGAGGCGGTCCCGGGGCATCCGAATGGGAAACCAACCTAGCATGTTGCAGCAACCTAACCTAGCTTGCAACACGGATGCCACCTGTACTCTGAACAGTAATAACATCAGGAGATTACTGGAGAATAAGCAGAGAATCTCTCTCGCAAGACTCCGGGTGAAGGTGTCAGTGACCCAATAGGCAGTATGACAGAGGTAAAAGTGGCGACTGTCACCCGGAGACAGGGCCCAGCAACCTACGATCCTGTACAAGACCGGTTGTAACCCGGAAGACACAATTAATGGTCCACCAAGCCCCGACAGGGGTTTCCAGGGCCTGTAGGCTGACTGCTACAGGAAGCCCGGGTAAGGTGTTGCTAACCGGTTAAGAAACCCAAAAATAACAAGAGGGTAGAGGACAACACTGAAAACCCCTGCGACGTGTACAATCATGGGGGCCTAGCAGAGAGCCACTAAACACTACCAGTGGAACTATAACCACACTAGGCAGACCCCCACCAGGCAAATGAAAATAAAAACTAAAGAAAAACCCCGCGAAAGTACACCGTCTCCAGAGGAAACAGGAACCGGTCGCCGCTTAGGTGGCAGGTCGCACAACACCCTGACGCCCTAACCAGCACAATACGAGTCCCTTCCCAGGCCCAAACAAGGGCCCCAAGTCCCAGCTGGCCCCAAGGGCGAGGCAAATGCCGAGCAGCAAGAACCTCTACGGGAATGGTTCCCGAATGCCCCAAGGAAGATAACCCTGTCACGCAGGGGCAGTACTCACAGGGCGCTTAGGGAAGGAAGCCCCTAAGCGCATGCAGCCCCAGCACTGATGAGGTACTCCTGGCCACCGCACAACACACGGCAGTGAATGCCACACAAGGCAAACACCGCCTAGGAAACTGAGGCCAGAGAAGCGTCTATCCCGGTTGACATTAGCTTACGAACTTATGCTTGGCAGCCGGCGCAGTAGGTCCGGGGCTCCCCCCTCCCCCTTTTGGGGCGGGGAGGGCTGCGCGGACGATCGGCGCGGCAGTAAAGTGTGATGTTTGCTTGTTTCCTTGAGATTGTAGGGAGTTTCTACCTCTCTGTTCCATTTTTTGTTTTAGTTTTTTACCATGTGGGGTTTGTTTTGTTATGCCTACCTTTCTGGGTGCCTAACCCCGGTCAATGGCAGATAAGGTAAACCCCAACCAGAAGGGGGTTTTCCAGGCCCATTGCTCCCTGAAACCTCTCTGAAGGGGGCAAGTTCTGGCGCTGGTCCCTGGTAGGTCTGAACTCCTTAGCTAATGTCCCTGTCTAATATAACATACATTAGCCCAATAAGCTTCAGGGAGCCGTAGCGGCTCCCACAGAAATCCGGGGTAAAAACCAACACCCAAGCATTTCCAGAGGAACAAAAGAAGGTCAGAACACCCCCAGAAAAAGCAAAGAAACAGCAGCAGGAGGATAAAACCCCTAAAGGAGGTGAAAAACTCGAGAAGAGTTTTTAGAAGAGGGTAGAAGAGGCGACTGTCACCCTGAGACAAGGGCACAGCAACCAACGAACCCGCACAAGATGGGTTGGAACCCGGAAGACACATCCACTGGTCCACTGAGCCCGAATAGGGGTTTCCAGGGCCAGTAAGGTGACGACCACGGGAAGCCCGGGCAAGGTGTCGCTAACCGGTTCACACCCAAAACTAACAAGGGGTAGATGCTAACACTGAAAACCCCTGCGACGTGCACAATTACGAGGGACTAGCAGAGAGCCACCAAGCAATACCAGTGGAATTATAGCCACACTAAGCAGACCCCCACCAGGCAAACAAAAATAAAAAGGAAAAACCCTACAAAAGTACACTGTCCCCAGAGGCAACAGGAACCGTTTGCTGCGTAGGTGGCAAGTTGCGCAACACCTTGACGCCCCAACCAGCATGATACCTGTCCTTACCCAAGGCCAAACAAAGGCCCCAAGCCCCAGCTAGTGCCAAGGGCAAAGCAAATGCTGAGCAGCAAGAACCCATACTGGAATGCAGTCCCGAATGCCTCAGGGAAGATAACCCTGACACACAGGGGCAGTACTCACAGGGCGCTTAGGGAAGGAAGCCCCCTAAGCCCATGCAGCCCTGGTACTGATGAGGAACACCTGGCCACCACATAACACAATAACATGGCAGTGAGTACCTCGGAGGCAAACACTACCTAGGAAACTGAGGCCAGAGAAGCATCTTTCCCAGTTGACATTAGCTTACGAACTCGAGTGCTATGCAGCTGCATGGTGAGATCTGGGCCCTCCTCCCCCTCTCAGGAAAGGGAGGGCTGTGCGGACGAGCAGTGCAGCAGTAGTGTGTTACGTTTGCTTGTTTCTTTGGGATTGAAGGGACTTCTACCTCTTTGTTCTGTTTATGTTGTTAGTTTTTTACCATGTGGGGTTTGTTTTGTTATGCTTAACTTTCTGTGTGCCTTACCCTGGTCGATGGCAGATAAGGGGAAAAACCACAATCACAGGGGGGGTGTTCCAGGGTTATTGCTCCCTGAAACCTCTCTGAAGGGGTTCTGGCTCGTGGTCCCTGGTAGGTCCGAACTCCATAGCTAATGTCTCGGTCTAGTATACAATACTTTAGCCCGATAAGCTCCAGGGAGCCGTAGGGGTTCCCCTCAGAAAGTATTGGGAAGACGGGACACCATGAGCGTAGCTCTCATCCTGTAATTATACCTAGCTAATTACTTTATCTAAATAGTTTGATGGCCCACAAAGCCATCACAGCCAGACTCATCCAGTAACTCCAGCAGAAACTTGTCCATTTCTCTCTTGAAAATTTCCACTGCTGTTTCAGTGTTTTATTATTACATAGGCAAGAGGATAAGGAGGGTATGAAGACAAGTGGGTAAGTTGTTTAACCCTTAAATGGCGCATGGCTATATACCATTTGACACCCACAGGCGCATTAAAAAAAAATCCTTTTTTCTTCCTAACCTGTTAATTTGTGTTCACTGACCATGGGAAAAATGATAAAAAAATCGTAAGTGGCATATATTGCCCGCTATAGGGCGGGGAAGTCTGGCAAAAAAACAGGCGCTGACTCAGCGTGCGTCCCAGACTGTCTGTTGCTTGCCAGCTGTCAGGCCGGAGTTGACACAAAGAGATAATTACCTAATTATTTCAATGTCTCCGATTGATTTTTTGTATTTTTTTTTTTGCAGTAATATTATTCAATAGTGTGTAGTGTGATATATTTATATAATAAAATGAGCGAATCATCGCTGTACTCAAAAATATGGTGTGCATATTGTTGATTCAATTATCTTCATCAAACAGTGAACAAATACTTTGTCGGATATTACACTATATACACAGGTTATATATAAGTATCTGCATGTTTTGTTCACCATAACGAACCACTAAGTTGCTATTATGAGTCAAAAAGCAACGAGGAGTGACCGCCGAGTACCAGCCAGCCACTCACGCCCTCCCTCAAGTCACCTGACTCACCCACATTCTCCTCCCACAATACTGTTTTTGCTTTTATTCACTATATACAGACGCTATAAATAAGTATCTACATTAGTGTTCATCATAACGAACCACAAAGTTGGTATGCTGAGTGGCGGTGGCAGTGGCAGCCAGAGGCAGCCCGCCACTGGCTGCCACTCCCTCCCTCCCTCACCTCACCTGACTTGCCACCATTCTCCACCCATCATACTGTTTTTGCTTTTATATACAGACGTTATATACAAGTATTTACATGTTTTGTTCACCATAACTGTACATCTAAGCTTGTATGGTGAGTAAAGGCACAAAGACGTAGGACCTCACACAGTCAGCTGGCTGCCGCCCTCAAGGCCAGACGCACTAATATTTCTCCTCCAACAATACTGCTTGTGATGTTATTACGCTATATACACACATTATATAAAAATATCTACCCGTTTTATTCACCATACTTGTACAAGTAAACTGGTATGGTGCCCAAAGACCATCGTGGTAACCAGTAAACAACAATGTAAATCGTGCAGACGACGCTACCGCCCTCACCAAGATGGCGGCTCCCAACCTACTCCTCTTGCTGTTTATACCCCTCTATACACACGTTATATATAAGTATCTACATTTGTGTTCACCATAGCAAACCACTAAGCTGGTATGGTGAGTGCAGTCAATAAAAGGTGGCCACACACAGTCAGAAGACATCGCCACCACCCTCCCTCCCACAGCATTACTCCTCCCTCCATGGCGCACAGCGCTGAATATCACCACAATCCTGCTATTATCAGAACCCTGGTCAGTTTTATCACAGTCAGGGGTCTTCTGTAATAATATCGTCGCTACATAATAGCATGAACAAGTATATTATGGCATTTGTAGGCGATGCTGTGGTCACAAGCTGAACAGCAGTGCTGTGAGCTCATGCTGTGTGCGTCAGGCTTGGTGGCTCACTCAATACTGAGGCCCCTCACACCCGGGAATTTGGCCCATGATTTTTAAAAAAAAATGACGTCTGTTTACAAGAGCCCTGATGAAGGTGTGGTGAACCCCGTGTATCCGCGGGCCTTTTAAATCTTGCATAGTACTCCAAAGTATCACATGATGTGATGCGCAATTTACTGCAAGTCGGTCAAAACATCATATGATGCAATGCGCAATTTAAGGGTTAAATGGCAAGAAGGGAATACAAACAGTAGAGTAGTAGTATGTTAGTATGTGGGCAAGACGGTACTGAAAACCATAACCCAAAAGAACTAATATTTCAAGATACACTTTTTAAATAATTCCCTAAGAAAAACAACAATCGTGGATGCTTGATAATAGAAGTGCTGTTCAAATTTACCATAAAGACACAAAAAATACCACTAACTTGCTTCTGGTGTTAATCATGTTGTAGAATTCAGTACGAAGGAATCGCTCAAGTCTGGTTGTGTAAGAAACTGCCTGTGCTTCTTTCATCAAGTACTTCAGTCCGCTGATCCACTCATTGCAGTCATCTGTCCCTAAAGCTGCCAATAACAATACAGCAACAATATGAAACTTGAAAATTATGTGCATGACAGTTATTAATGGTCACGCTACATATTTCACGTATCCATAAAAAAATTTATTGCAGAAATCAAAAACTTCATACAGTTGTATCATTTACCAACACCATTACTGGGATTATTCCCAGAAATCATGCTACAGTATGTATATACTGTACAACATTACTAGTAGCTATGCTTATTACTCTTCATTATAACACTGATCCGGGCAGTGTTGTAATTTTTTAATTTGACAAAACGAATTTTTAATTTGGCTCAAAAGTCAGTCAAGAGGGGGTTAGATGGTCTAATAACTATAGGCATCTCCTTCCCACCACAATAAATAATTCAGGAAAGTTTTATGCCGATACATAAAGGCATTCCTTCTCCGGAAATTACACACACAACAAGTTTGAACAAAAACTTGGCATTAAATGTAATGAAATGTATCTTTCTGCAAACCCCAATGGCTCCCTGAACCTATCTCACCGAGATTGCTCTATGCGAATGGATTACACCAGATGCAGGAGTTCTGTTCGGCCTACTGAGGGCCAGAGCCAAAACCAGGCCCCTCTTACAGAGGTGCAGAGAACAAGTGACAATGTGTTACCACATCAGGAAAGCATCCAAAAAGTCAGCTAAGCTTTACAGACAACTGGAAGATTAACAAAGACCAAAGCTCCAAAAATGCCAAACCACCTGTAATGTGTAATAGGGGAATGTAATAGGGGAATGTGGATCTAGAAATTAGTAATAGAGAAAGTGAATACCGTTGCAAGTCGGAAATAAAGCAGAAAATTCCTTATGGTAATACAGGCAAATTAATATATCAGTGTTATAACTCAGGTAACTGGCAACTGACGACATCCAGCCGCGGTCTGGGACAACACCGTGTCAACTGTACAGCCTCTGGGACCCCTCACCCCTCGATAAGTACTGCCCAAACAGTAGAACAAATAAACGTATATATTACAGTATTACAAATATACGGTGTATATGTATGTGTGTATATGTGTGTGTATGTGTATGTAATTACCTAAGTGTAGTTACAGGATGAGAGCTACGCTCGTGGTGTCCCGTCTTCCCAGCACTCTTTGTCATATAACGCTTTGAAACTACTGTACTGACGGTCTTGGCCTCCACCACCTTCTCACCTAACTTGTTCCAACCGTCTACCACTCTGTTTGCGAAAGTGAATTTTCTTATCTTTCTTCGGCATCTATGTTTAGCTAGTTTATATCTATGACCTCTTGTTTTGAAGTTCCAGGTCTCAGGAAATCTTCCCTGTCGATTTTATCAATTCCTGTTACTATTTTGTATGTAGTGATCATATCACCTTTTTTTCTTGTCTTCCAGTTTTGGCATATTTAATGCTTCTAACCTCTCCTAGTAGCTCTTGCCCTTCAGTTCTGGGAGCCACTTAGTAGCATGTCTTTGCACCTTTTCCAGTTTGTTGATGTGCTTCTTAAGATATGGGCACCACACAACCGCTGCATATTCTAGCTTTGGCCTAACAAAAGTTGTGAACAATTTCTTTAGTATATCACCATCCATGCCTTTAAAAGCAATTCTAAAGTTAGAAAGCGTGGCATAGGCTCCTCGCACAATATTCTTTATGTGGTCCTCAGGTGATAGTTTTCTATCTAGAACCACCCCTAGATCTCTTTCTTTATCAGAATTCTTTAAAGATTTCTCACATAATATATAGGTTGTGTGGGGTCTATGTTCTCCTATTCCACATTCCATAACATGGCATTTATTAACATTAAATTCCATTTGCCAAGTGGTGCTCCATATACTTATTTTGTCCAGGTCATCTTGAAGGGCATGACAATCATCTAAGTTTCTTATCCTTCCTATTATCTTAGCATCATCAGCAAACATGTTCATATAATTCTGTATACCAACTGGTAGATCATTCATGTAGACAATAAAAATCACTGGTGCAAGAACTGAACCCTGTGGTACTCCACTTGTGACATTTTTCCAGTCCGATACATTGCCTCTGATCACTGCCCTCATTTTTCTATCAGTCAGAAAATTTTTCATCCATGTTAGAAGCTTACCTGTCACCCCTCCAATATTTTCCAGTTTCCAGAACAACCTCTTATGTGGAACTCTGTCGAAAGCCTTTTTTAGGTCCAGATAGATGCAGTCAACCCAACCATCTCTTTCCTGCATTTTTCTCCAGGTGTTCTACCCATTTAGTTTTAATTATTTTTTCCAATATTTTGACTATTACACTTGTCAATGGTATAAATTTTTTTGTGCCTTTATAATATATTTCACAGAACTTGACATACATCTCATTCACTTCCTTGCCTAGCAACAAGTCTGTCCAATTATACTCACTAAAAAATTTCTAAGGTTGCCATAATGTCCTCTCCTAAAGTCAGGTTTTTCAATTTCATCAACTATCATATTTTCTTCCAGATTATAACGCATTGCATACTTTATTCCCAAAAAGACATGGTCACAAGGGAGGAAGGTACTGAATGTCAAATATTTCTTCCTCCTTCCTGGTAAATATCAAATCTAGCATGGAGGGAACGTCCCCTTCCCTCATCCTCGTAGCTTGTTTAACATGTTGATAAAAGAATGTTTCCAGGATGAGGTCTACAAATTTACAGGTCCAAAAATCTTCTGTTTTAGCTTCATATGCTTCCCAGTCTATGGATTTCAAGTTGAAGTCGCCGACTATCAACAATCGTAAACTATCGTTATCCGCTCTCGCTATGATCTCTCTCATTATTGTTATAAGACCTTCTCGTTTACTATCTAGCTCCTCCTTTGACCATGTGCTGCTTGGCGGTGGACTATATGCATTTATGATCATTAGTTTATCATCCTCATGGCAGGTCTAGTGCTATTATGTCAACTTCTTGTGGATTGGCAGTCATTATTTCCTTCACCTTTAGATGAAGGTAAAAGATCTTTGTAAGCTCTGCAGATCAGCAATTTCTCAAGCTTGATGCACGAACCACGATCAGAATCACCTTTCGGCAATGCATAGTTGTAATGTCTAGTAGAAAAAGGAATTTGCAACAGAAGTGTAATGGTTTGGGAACCTGACTCTCCTGAGGACCTACCTCGACCAACAGCAAGCAAGGTCCCAACCCAACCAGACTGCCTCCGAGTGGAGGCAGACCCCCGAGAAACTAACAAATGGTCCACAGGCCGACAGGAGGCCACTGCAAACATAAATTTGGACATTAGATCCTCTGGAAAGGGGAGAGGAAAAAAGGGGAGAGGAAAAAAGGGGAGAGGAAAAAAGGGGAGAGGAAAAAAGGGGAGAGGAAAAAAGGGGAGAGGAAAAAAAAGGGGTAGGTGGACAAAAGGAAAGGGGACCACGCCTAATCTACAAAATGGGTAAACATGACCTCTCCACATACATGGTGATCCAAAGTAAATATTACCACTGCCCCCCGAAAGAGAGAGGCGAGCATTTTTGGCAAAGTTCACAAAGCTGCCAAGGCAGGAACTGCTGGCTTCAAGCCCTCCACACCTGGAAGGTACAGAGCAAAGCCACATCCTCACAGAGCTGCCAAGAGGGCCCCTCTACAAGGACCCAAACCCACAAGATTACTGCTAAATGCAAACGTGTCTTGTGGTCATACACAGTACAAGCCCTGGACAACACAGGCATCTGCACATGAAGCTGCCACTTGCTCACATCTCTGGAGTGTGCTGGAGCAAACAGGCAGTCCTTGAGCTATGCTAAATCCGGTGGGGTGGCTGATTGTCACCCACTTCCTACACGTCTCTGCGGGAGGCCAGGTTCTGGCTCCGGTCTCTGGTAAACCAAACAACTCTTCTGCGATTAATGTGACCTTTAAGTTGCAGCAATCTTAGCAAGACAGCTTCAGGGAGCCACCAGGAAGGGGGGCGGGGCTCCCTCAAAAAAAATACTTCAGAAATATATAAAGAATTCAGTTCAGTGAAATCCACAATATATCCATTCATGGTATAACAAATAAGCATAATTTATTTACATTTATGAATGTTGCTAATAAATACACCATTACAAGTGAATAGCACAAGAACATGCAGATCATTAATACACCATACTGTACCTGCAATGGAAAGTGTTCTGAGCTTAAATTCTTTCCCATAAAATACAATGAAACACTTGGACTTGTCTTCCTTCCGAGAATCGTCGGGCCACTTGTCGAAATCTTTGGAGCCTTTTCCTGGACGAACTTCCTTGATATCACATAGTGCAGCTGAAAAATATTTGCAAATTAATTTATTCTTTCCTTGGTGAAAAAACACTTTGGCACAATAAAGGGCAGTGATGGCATCAAAAGAATAAACATTTTCACTTATCCATCCTCATGCATTATACAGTGCAACTTCCATTATCTAAACTAACTGGTACCTCTGAATGTCAGATTAACTGAAAATTTTGATAATCAAATAAAATATCCAGAGACTTCTCTTTTTACATTGTCACATGAATCCCCTGCATAGCAGTGGAACTGCCTTTTCCCTTCACCTTCAATGCCTCTGTACTGGAAGTATACATCTACACCAGCCCAGATGAGTCATCAGTCCTGCCACCTCTCCGTACCCCCCAGGGTCTGGCACGGCCTGGTATGACTCAGAGGCAAGCCGGGTGCCTCTGCTAACAGGTAGTTTGCCCCCACAAACAAGCAGTTAGCCGCCTTCAACTGGCAGTGGTGCAGCTCAACACAAAGGCACCGTCAGCCACAAATGAGCAGTTTGCTAGTTGACCAGATGGCCACCTTGCATTGACACTGGATGAGTCCTCACTGCCAGACAATATAAAGGGCGCTGCCTCCCTGGAGAGCACTCTCTCTCTTAGTGCTCTTGGAACACCTTGGTGTCTCTCACCCGTCGTCCACCTTCAGCCAACGCCGTGTGTCTGATGCAGTGGTGGTATGGTAGCCGTCTTCAGTACACCAGTATATCTTTATGCTTTTATTTATTGCTTACAGTTTATTTTTTCACTAATGTCATATTAACTTGCTCACCTTTGCATTACATGACAGCCGAGTATTGTCATGTGTCATTTTTGTTCATTACTATTTCAGTAAATTGTTTAATTATTTATTTGATGATTTTAATTTGTTTCCACCTGCAACTTACACACTGCAAGGCCAATAGCAGCATTTTTTTTTATTTGTGTGAGGGAGAGCCATACCATCTTGGTTCAGTATAGCTGCGATACCACAACCCGTCACATAAATTTGGGGGCCTGTCCTAGGAGCTGTCCCAGGAACTGTCCTAGGAGCTGTTCTAGGAGCTGGTCTAAGGAGCTGTTCCTAGTACCCTTGCTTAATGTTGTGTTTAGTTGTTATACTTGGCTTTTATACTTTGCATTTTTTCAGAATTCATTTTAAGATTTTCATACCGGTAACTGAACACATCTACTTTACAGGTGTAGCAATTTGTGATCTGTTTATTAGATTGACTTTGATTACGTGATGTTTTAGGCACAAATTCATGCTCGTAATGGTTAGTCTTCTAAGCTATTGCTATATCTTTTTATCCACATTAATTTTGTCTCAACAGAGACAATTCCTAACTCCTATTTTCAATTAACAATTTCCTAATTCCTAACAATTCCTAACTCGGGCAGATCACCCCCTCGGGTACTTATTTGGTACTTTGATTTGTCTTCAAACTATTATGTTCCACTTTGTATTACAAACTTAGGAAGAAGTATTGGATTAGAGATCCTTTCGCATCCAGAACTGTGTTATACATTCGGGACGTGTACAGCCGTTCTCGTCACAGTGGTGACACTCCCTGCACCCCTAAGCCTTTCTTCAAAGTTCATGATTAACTACTCAGGTAGGGAGTTTACTATTCTTTTATAGAACACAAGGAATGGTAACTCTGCAGTTAATTATCTATATTCCAGTAGGACAACTCTTGCCCTTATCCTCATTAGAATACAGGGTACAGACATCCCTACATCCTGCTTATATTTTACTACCTCGAAACATTCATTTATATTGTTTCTCCAAGTCCTTATTAAAGTCAAAGACTTAGTTTTATTTCAGGTTATTATATATAGTGTAGTAATTTATCTTGTAAATTTATTGTTGCCTTACTTACGTATAGCGTTGCCAGTTATATAACAACCATTCTCATGCATATTGGCACATCACTTACAAGGCAGTCTATTAATCCTCACTTATTGGTTCGCCTACAGGGTACTCGCATTTTTCTTCCATTTATATTTTGTATTTGAATAATATTCAATATGTTTAGGTTAACAGCATTTCGTGCTAATCTGGAGGAGGAGCTCCACACATTAATTCATGCTACTAGAGCAGAATTAATCACCCTTACTACTGAATACCACATCACTCCTCCCCACGGGGTCACCAAAGCTGAACTTCATAACCTGATTATTGACCATCTTGCAGACAATGATCTTATTACTCCAGAGCAGCAGGACCAACATAGAGTTGCTGATAAAACCATATTCACACACATGAAACTAAAAATCGAGTTAGCACCACTAGAAGCTGCTGCCAATGAACGCAAACGGGAGATGAGACGACAAGAGGCTGAATTAGCCCGTGAATGTGAACGAGAACAACGCCAGCTGCTACAACAAGAAGCCGAGATACAACGTGCACGTGAACAAGAACAATTCCGGCTCTACGAACAAAAAGCCGAATTAGAACATGCACATGAGCAAGAACTACTCCAGATCCTGCAACATGAAGCTGAACTACAACGTCAACGTCAAGAACAAGAAGCTGACCTACAACGTCAACGTCAAGAACAACCTGGCATACAACGTCGAAGAGAAGTGTAACAACTGCAAAGCCTAGCTCAAGAGCTTCAACTCAAAAGAAAACAAGAGGAGGATGGAGTTGGCATCACATTACGCTTGGAACAAGGTAGATCAGACACCGCACTCAAGTTCCAGTGTCAGGAATTAGAACTTGAAAGTTTGAAAGTACCCACCTCTCTCAACGCTGTGAAGCAGAAGCCAACTTACCGGTATGTTTTAAGCCTACAGATTGTATTAAAATGATGCCGCCTTTTGTAGAGGCAGAAGTAGATTCATTTTTTGTCATTCGAGGCCTTGGCCACCCAGTTACAATGGCTTAGGAATCAATGGTCTATACTTCTCGGATCACACCTTACAGGAAGAGCTGCCTTAACCCTCAGTATTCTTGCAAACGAGACTGACTACGATGTACTCAAGCAAGCAGTCCTTGACGCCTATCTACTTTCTACCGAGAGCTACCGACGACGCTTCAGGGACTATATAGAAACTCAGGCTCAAACCTACATGGAGTATGTGCAGACCAAAACCAGGTATTTTTTAAAATGGTTAGAATCAGCTCAGGTGACCACATTTCAAGAACCTATTAATTTAATACTGTTGGAAGAGCTTACCCGCAGAGTACCAAACCCTATACGCCTATATCTTGCAGATAAGGGAGAGACAAATCTCAGTAAATGTGCACAGTTAGCTGATACTTACAGTTTAATTCATAAATCTTTGGACTCAGGTTACAGTAAACCATCTTGGTCCAGTCAAGCTTCACCTAAAGTAAGTCGTAAAGACACTAATTATGCACTTTACTGTCGTTACTGCAAAACATATGGACACCTCATTGAACAGTGTCCAAATACTAAGTGTAAAACCACTAGTACAGTTTCACCTAAGCCAAAGCATCCACCCACTAATCCTACCAAGCCTGTACTACATGTAAATGTTCCTGTTAGTGATCTTGCTTTATTTGACAGGCATATATATCCAGGAACTTTGTCAGCTAATGGTGAAGATTTCAAGAGTGAGAGCCCAATATGCATCTTGAGGGACACAGTTTCGATGCAGTCTATTCTACTAAAAGCTGCTGCACCTCAAATCACTTACACTGGAGAAACTGTCCTGATCACTGACCTCACTGCAACTACACCATACCCATTTGCCACAGTCTACCTGGAGTGTCCATTCGTTCGTGGAAAGGTCCAAGTTGCTATTCGGGAAAAACCTTTCCCCATGCCAGGAATTCAACTTCTCCTGGGCGACGACATAGCCAACCAGCAAGATTCCACCAATTTGATCATCTGCGACAAACCCCAGGCATGTGACTTAGCCATAGAAGAAGATCCCGCTATGACTTTTGCAGCAGAGGAAGAAGAAACCGTGACAGAAGAATCAGCAGACTTCTTCCAGCCTGTTCTAGTGACTACACGTGCTCAAGCCGCTCAACCACAACAAGTAGCAGCAGCCGTCCCTCAAGACGTGCGAGGCCTCCCTCCTAATCTCAACCAGTTAAAGTTCCGTAAGTTACAACAAGCAGATTTGTCACTAACTGCTCTTTTCTATCAAGCACAGATTAAGACCAATGCCATTCCAGGATTTTATATAGACACTAATCAATTATTGTATCGTAGATACAGACCCAGAAAGCTTAAGGCAGAGGATGATTGGCCTGACGTGAATCAACTAGTGGTTCCAACATCATTAAGAAAAGATATATCTTTAGCTCATGGCCCAATGTCTCATTATGGGATCCATAAAACTTATAATGCCCTTGTACAGGACTATTTTTGGCCAGGCATGGCATGAGATGTCAAGATCTATGTTATCAATTGTCATACCTGCTGAATGGCAGGAAAACCAAATGTAGGTACTGTACCAAAGCACCACTTATTCCTATTTCTGTGCCTTCTGAACCTTTTACCAGGTTAATAATTGACTTGAGTTGGGTCTTTACCAAAAACCCACACAGGCAACATGTACATCATCACTATAATGTGTCCTACAACCAGGTTTCCAATAGCAGTTCCTATTAAGAATATTACGGCTGCTACAGTTGTCAAGCATCTATTGAAGATCTTCACTCAGTATGGTTTCCCGAAGGAGAAAGTGACTGTAGAACTAATTTCACCAGTGAGTTGTTTAAGAAAACTCTTCAGGAATTTAACATCACCCAAGTCTTGTCCAGTCCATATCATCCTGCTTCACAGGGATCTCTGGAACATAGCCATCAAACCATTAAGTCTTTGTTAAAGAAATTTTGTATTGGGATACAAAATGAGAAGGATTGGGATAAGCAACTAGATTTCCTTATGTGTATTTTCAGAAGTCTTCCTAACGAGTCCCTTGGAGTATCTCCTTATGAGATGCTCTATGGTCGTAAGTGCTGTGGTCCTCTTAAAGCTTTTAAAGATTCCTTGACGTCAACCACCTTCAGTGATTCCCTTAATGTGCCTCAGTTTC